GCGGCGCTTGGGAACGCTGGGGCATGCCGTGCGGGACCCTGTGGCTATTGGGCGCCTCCTTTTTCGGGTGGCCCATGGATATACATGTCGCGCGCACGAGCACGCGCGGGGCTGAGTTGATGCACCTTTCTCTTCGCGCATGTATCGCGCCATCGATGATATGCCAATGCAGCAGTGTTGTGGCGAGCGACCGGGCTGCTAGAATTCCGCCAGGGGTATGGGCGTACTCCAGTGGTGGTGTCACCCCTTGCCCGCGCTCGTGGGGTCTGTGGGTCATGCTGTCATTAGGTGTTCTTTGTCCTCAGGGCAGCCTCCAGGTCCCAGCGGCCAGGCTTGAATTCAGCTGAACGTCGACCTTTCTGAAAGTGTGCGGCTTTGGGCTCCCTTCGTACTTCGGTTATCCACGCCACCCCTGTTGCGATGCCAGTAGGTTGTGATTCACATTGTGCGGCTGCGATTGCGGAGCGCTTGCGAGCCTTCGCTTACGCGATAGGGGGAGGAAGAGGAGGAGGAGGAGGAGGAGGAGGAGGAGGAGGAGGAGGAGAAGGAGAGGATCATAAGATGGAGACCGCCACGTCGGACCAGAGTGGTTGTCGTCTCTTCCCGCTGGAAGAACCACATGTTCCGTGGGGACTAAATAGAAAGGAGTGTGTTGCCACAGTGCCTATAGTCAACTCGCGCACAGCATCATTGCTATTACGACAGTCGTTTAAACCATGTTCAGAAACTCTCCCCTCGGGCAGCGCCGACGCTCCCCGTCGTGCTGGCCGCAAGGTACGAGTTCCTCATGCGGATGAAAAGCTCGGAGGGCGGCTTCAAAATGCACGACCAGGGCGAGACCGACATGCGCGGGCGGGGGCCCGGGGAGCTCGGCACGCATGCGTGAGCGGGTGGGGCGGCGGGCGGCGGAAGCGAGCGCACGAGACTTTGCAGAGTCTTCGAAGGCGGCCTCCGCGTGTGGATCGTTCGCAGGAAGCGGTGCAGACAGCGTGGCATTCAGCACACGCGCACATGTAGGTGTACAGTCGGGGCACTGAAGAAGGAACCCTTTTCGTTGGGGTGGGGCTCGGTGTTCCTTGATTGTTTCAAACTTTGCCTCGGGTTTCCCTGAGGTTTTCCATGGGAAATCGAGGTTGAACTTATGGGAAATAGGGGCCTCGTTCCTTATTTAGGGTTCCTTGGGTCAACGCCTCGACTGTATTATAAATACATGCATACATCTGTTCATAGTACATGGGAATGAACCCGGCGCGACTCCAATCAGGGGACACTTTCCTAATGCATGGGCGCATTGATTGGCCCTGCGTAGTGTAGCCTTGCATTCCTGGGTCCACGACCAAGGAGCCAAGGAGCCAGGGAACGCCAGCGTCAGGAAACACGACCGAGGACCTCCGAGGAACCCCACTGTAAGAAGACACGCCCAAGGAACCCTGGGGAGCCTGGCGACGACCGCACCTCGTACCCACTGGAGCCTCAAAACAGTAAGAAGTGAAACAACCTTACGCAAAGCCTGTTTGAGGAAAGAAACAGCTTATACATCGCACAAAAACAGACGCGCATCCTGCACTCACACACACACACACACATCGCACACAGACACACACACACACACACACATCGCGCAAACACACAAACACATGCTCACGCTCACTCGTGCACACGCACACGCAAGCGCGCCCTCGGCAGTGCGATGCACAAACAACAAACAACAAAGCAATATTAAGACTGCTCGCTCTTACCTTCTCTCGTGCCATTCAACACGTATGCGATAAACCCTCGATGCCCGCCTTCTTCGTCTTCGGTCGGATCCCCTTGGGGGTCTGCCTTCTTAACCTGCCAAACGTAGTTGGTGCAGCCCCTAAAGCAAGGAAACAACAAAAACGAGTGGAAGGGGGAGAGAAGGATGGAGCACGAGAGAGATTAGCAGGAGGGGTGTTCGGGGCAGAAAGCTCGTGGCAAAACCCAGACGGGCTGCCCAGGCGGGTAGACCCTACCGGGCAGGTCGGGAACGCGGGCCCAGGCGGCCTGGTCGAGCAGGAAGGTTGCTGAAGCGAGAGTCTGAATGAACCGCGAAGAGGTCCCGAACGATGGGTGCGATTCCCAGGTAGATGACGAACGAACAACACGCACCCATATCCATAGGTGGGACTGAGCGGACGATGGGTGCGTGTTATCGGATGGGGGTCCCCGCTCGAAAGGAAGCGCCCCCCCAGGATCCGACAACCCGCACCCATACCCATAGCCAGTCCTCCTCTCAACGTTCCCCCTATGGGTATGGGTGTGTGTTGTTCGGGGCATTTATCTTCCTTGTCTGCCACGCGCATTTTGCCGCAACCTCTAAAGCAGCGGAAGAAAGGGCGAGTTGGAAGTAAGGGACAAAGTGGAGGGGAAAAGGATGGAGCACGAGAGTGCTGAGCAGGAAGGGGACTAGGAGCAGAAAGCGCGCGGCAGAAACAGACGGGCAGATCTGGTGGGCAGGTCCAAACGGGCGGGCCGGGAAGGCGGGCCCAGCCGGCCGGGTCGAGGCATGCGTGGTGCTGAAGCGTGAGTCGTGCATGAATCGCGAGGAAGTTTCGAACGGTAGCGCGAGTCTTACGTACATCGTGAGAAAAGCCAGAGCGAAAGCGCGATTGTTGAACGTCGAGGGCGCGGCGTCTGAATAAATCGCGACGGGGCCTCACGCGAGAGCGCCATTCCTGCATGCATTGTGAGGAAATCCCGCGCAAGAATGCGATTTTGGCATACATTGTACGGAGCTGTCAGGCAGGAGCCGCTGCTGTTGTAAACCGGTGGCCAGTGGCCCAATCTGAAGCCCGAGAGTTACTCTTGTACAAACAACGTGCGGGCCCCGGGAGGAACATCTGACTTGAAACAACTCCAAGGGCACCGGGCAAGGGGTTAAACTAATAAATCGGGAGCCTCGCGACGGGGGTCAATGCAAACGGGGGTCAGCCAGAGCGCCGGATCTTGCAGGATCCTGCAGGGCCAGGGTCGCATTGACCCGGGTTTGGGTGCAGGGTCCTGCAGGATCTTGCCGGATCCTTCGCATTGACCCGGGTTTGGGTGCAGGATTTTGCAGGATTCTGCAAGGTCTGACTGACCCGGGTCTGGATTGACCCGGGTCAGGAGGTCTCCGAATAAAAACAAACCCTGTAGACATGATTGTTCCACCGCAGCAGCAATCACAACAACAACAACAGCAACAACAGCAGCAACAACAGCAACAGCAACAGCACCAACAATCATTTCCACACGGTTCGCTCTGGTCTGCTCGCGTGTCATACAACACGTACACCCCAGACCTTCGATGTAACAACAACAACAGCAGCAACAACAACAGCAACAACAACAACGATGCGATTTCAACCACAATGGCAAGGACAGCAGCACCAGTAGCAGCAACGATTCGTTTACTATTTTTCGCGTTGGTGTGCCCGTGTGTCGTCCAACATGTATTTCCCCAACATTCGATGCCCGCTCTCTTTCGCCTTCGGTCGTACCCGATTGGGGGTATATCTCTTTCCCGCAACGTTTATTCCGTGCAGCCGCTAAGGCAGCGGAGGAAAGAACGGATGGAAAGAAGGGACAACGGGGAGGGAGGATGATGAAGCACGAGTGAAAGCAGCAGCGGTTCTCCCTAATTTTTGAGAGCTGTGTTGCAGCTACAGCCCTGAGAATTTACCATAACGCGCCATGATCGACTACAGAGAATCATATTCTGGGCTCTCAAAACGAATTTGAGATCTCTCAGAATCTCCGAGGGTCACCACATTGTCCGCCGACGGGGCCACGAACAGAACACACGTGGCAGAAGCAAACGGGCAAATGGGGCGGGCAGACCTCCACGGGCGTGCCCGAAGGCGGGCCCGGGCGGCCACGTCGAGCCTGCGGGCTGCCGAAGCGTGAGTCCGGCATGAATCGCGAGGAAAGCTCGAGCGATAGCGTTATGTCGGGCGTGTCCCCCATACAGGGGGATTTTCGACGAAAAAAAAATACCCCCAAAATACCCCAAGAAGCTGAAAAAATACCCCCAAAATAGTCCCCAGACTATTTTGGGATTATGCTTTATATTTTTTGGGTATTTCTTTTTTTCGTCGAAAATCCCTCTGTAGGGAGACAGGCCCGACTTAACGATAGCGCGAATCCTGGGTAAATCGTCCGAAAGGCCAAAGCGAGTTTTTTGAGTGTCGAGGGCGCGGCGGTCGAACACATTGGGGGGAAATCCCACGCGCGGGCGCGGTTTCTGCATACACTGAGAGGAAGTCCCTCGCGAGAGCACGAAGTTGGAATACGTTTGAGGAACTATCCAGCGGGAGCGCCTATTGTTGTAAACCATGTTCCGAAATCATATGTTGGTGGCACTTAATTGTTCTTTGTCAGAACTTGGTGCGAGCCCCAGGGGGCGGGGGGGGGCATTCTCATTGAAAGATGCAATGGTCTGGATGGGGGTACCAGCAATAGTTTTCAAAGTTGGAATGCGAGTTCAGTAACAACAAGAGCAACAGCAGCAGCAGCAACACTTATTCTCAGATGGATCGCTTTGACGCAATTGCGTGCCACCCAACTTGTATGTCCCAAATGCTCGATACCCCCCCTCTTCGTCCTCGATCGTACCCCTTTTGCCACATCTTTCTAATCTGCCACGCGTAGTTGGCGCAGCCCTTAAAACAAGATGGGAGGAAGGTGGGAAGAAACAGGGGAGAAGGAGAACGATGGGGCACGAGGGAGATTAGCAGGAGGGGGGTTAAGGAGCAGGAGTGCGAGCGGCGGAACCAGACGGGCGGGTCGGGCGGGCGGGCACGGACTGGCGGGTCGGGCGGGCGGGCGAAGACGGCCGGGTCGAGCGGGCGGTTCGCTGAAGCGCGAGTCCTGCGTGACCCGCGAGGAAGTCTCAAGCGAGAGAGCGACTTCCAAGTCAATCTTGAGAAGGGCCAAAGCGAGCGCGCGATTATTGAATGAATGTAGAGGGAGACTGTCCCACGCGAGAGCGCGATGCCCAGATAAGTTGAGAGGACGTCCCGCGCGAGAGCGCGATTTTGAATAAGTTGTGCGGAAGTGTCAGACGGGAGCTGTTGTTATTGTTGCTGTAGTTCGGGGGCCAAGGGGCCAACTCGAGTTCAAATATTTTCCCTTGTGGTAAACAAGGTGCGAGCCCCAGGAGGGGCATTGCAATAGAAAAAGCACACTGGGCACCAGAGGGCGGGGATTAACCATAATTTGTGGGAAGTGAGACTTCAACAACAAAATACAAGAAACAGTCATACGTACGCATGTTAATGCTTGAATGCGTATATATAAATATATAAACGCTTGCGAAGCATGATGTATATCCTTCGATGTCTCCGCTCCACTGCTCCGCCCAGCGCCGATAGGAAGGAGGTCGGGGGACATCGTCGTGCCCGAAAGGGATCAGCCTCCTGGTGCAGCAGCAGATTTCCTTCGCCCCACGCTGGCTCCGAAGACCCGTCCCCGCACCCACCGTTGGGGCGCAGGGAGTTAAGCACTCTGCTCCGATGTACCGGCCTGAAGCATATCCCCATCCGTACGATTGACAACAGCTCATCTCGATGCCGATCTTGTGGGTTCCCTCGGTGTCTGACGGAACGCCCCTGAGGTTGTCATCGTCTTTGGGCTTTCCAATCTTAGGGATATCGCGAGTTGGCAACTAGCACCCGCATCTGCACTACTCCCACATTTGTCGGTGTGGACTTCTGGAACGGCTATGGCGCGTGTTTCAGGAGGGGAAAAACACAACCACAATTAATCGTCGACTCCCAGGAAAATATGGGAAACTATGGGAAGTGGGGGGGAAGACAGAAACCCAGCAAATATGGGAAAATATGAGGGATATTTTTATTTGTGTGTATTTATTTGTGTGTCCTTGGGCCTCTTCAGTGTTGTCGGACGGGGCTTCCCGCTCGAACAGGGGCCTCCGTGGGGGTCCTGCAAGCCGCGCCCATACCTACAGCGAGTCCTCAAGTCGCGAGCCAGGCGCGGGTCCGCCCCCCCCCAAGAAGGACGGGTGCGTTTTAGCTCGCTGAGGGGCAGCGAACGCGATCTGTGTTTCTGGGGCGACGGAGGAGGAGGTGATGCTCGTAGCGCGAGAGCAAACCTTAGCAGCCCAATCGCTGGTAAGAGCAAACCTAAGGTCCGAACTTGTCGCGAACGGGTGTCGTATGGACTGTCATTGACGGATCAAGCGCGCTGGCTGAGCGTATTGGGATCTGGCCTTGGAAACAACGTTGCCCCCCAAGCGATCTCCAATGGGTGCGTGTTGTTCGCTCGTCAGGACAGACGAGCTCGAGGCTGGTTGCTGGTAGCGGGGGCAGGGCCTACTGCGCCATCGCCGTTGCCTCCATGCTGCATATCATCACGGCGCGGCGGGGGGCGTCGTGCGGCGGGTCACGTCGCGGTGGCTGTGCGCATCACGCTTCCCACCTCCTCCTCTGCCTTCCCCCCAGACATAAGACGCCGTGTTTTTTTCACGACGTGGCCCCCAGAGGTCTGGACCCTTTCCCAGGGACCAGCTGTTCATCCCGGGCCGTGATTTGACGGTCCCAGCGCCCGGCAAGGGCCCTTGGATGTCAGAAGCAAAACAGGTAGTTTGGCGAGAGACCCAAGAATTTGTCGTCGGTGAAGCCCCCCAAATGGGGTCGCGAAACGTGCGGGTGGTGTGCCAATATGGTGGGGAGAAGGCATGCGGCCCTAGCACTAGGGCCTTAGATGGTCTTCGCTATGACGCCGCGAAACGTGCGAGGGATGTGCCGAAATGGCGTGGAGAAGGCATGCGAGCCTTGGCAATGGCGCCTCAGATCTCCCCCTGGGGCCTCGAAACGTGTGAGGGCTGTGCCGACATGGTGTGGAGAAGGCATGCGGGCCCTAGCATCGGAGCCTGAGGTGGAAACCTCTTTGGGGACGCGAAGCGTGCGAGGGGTGCGCCGAAATGGCGTTGAGAAGGCATGCTGGCCCTGGCACTGGCGCTTTAGGTGGAGCTCCCTATGGAGCCATGGGGCCGCGAAACGTGTGACGGGTGCGCCAGAACTGTGTGGAGAAGGCATTCGGGCCCTGGCCCAGGGGCCTCAGGTGGAGCTCCCCTTGGGGCCACGAAACAAGTAAGGGGTGCACCAACACGGTGTGGACCATGCATGCGGACGCAACCAGTGGAGCCTCATGTGGAGCGCCCTATGGGGTCACGAAACGTGTGAGGCCTGCGCCACATCGTGTGGACCATCTATGCGGACCCAGCCATTGGGGCCTCATGTTGAGCTCCCTATGGGGCCACGAAGCGTGTGAGTGGTGCGCCAGAACGTTGTGGACCTCTTATGCGGACCCAGCCACTGCTTCAGGTGGAGCTCCCTATGGGGCCACGAAGCGTGTGAGGGGTGTGCCGAGATGGCCTGGAGTGGGACTGCAAACCTGCGAAGGAGGAGGGGGAGATAGAAGGAGGAGTCAGAGGGACGCGGGGCGCCGCTGATTCAACACGAGGACCCAACTCAACGCAGGATGGTTGGGACAAATCCCGCTGCGTCTGCTGCATGCCATTTTGCTGCATTCGGGCTGAGAGAGAAAGAGAGAGAGAGAGAGAAAACACAAAAGAGAGAAAGAGAGAGAGAGAGAGACAGACAGGCAGACAGACAGAGAGAGAGAGAGAGAGAGACAGTCAGCTCGCAGACGGGGCGGAGGGCTCTCGGGCACTGGGGCTGTGCCTCGCTTGCCCGGACGGGTGCCGGGTTGCGACGAGAGCCGAAGGCGCGGCTTGCAGCGGATGGGCGCCACGGAGTAGTGGTGCTCCTCGCCTTGCTCTTTCCTCTCGCTTCTACTCCCCCCCTCCTCCTATACTTCGCTTCTCATCCTCCTGCTCCTGCATCCCTTCTCCTTATGTACAGCTCCTCCCTGTCGCACCCCGAAGCGGGTCGGTAGTGCGGGCCGAGCGTTTCGCTTGAGATTGCCTTACCCCTACCACTATTGACCGCAACTTTGCAGCAACTTCACGGGTTGAGCGCGGGTGGTTTTGAAAATATGATTCTCGCCCCAGCGCTGCGCACATTCGTGTAAAGGTGTGCAGGAATTTCACGGATGGAGGGCGGGCCGTTTTCAAACTGTGGCTCTCGCTTAGGCAGGCGCTGTGCATTTTCGTTTCGGAAGTTTGCACGGGCTTCGCGCATGGAGGGCAGGTGGTTTTAACAGGGGGTGTTCGCCTTTGCGCCGCACGCATTCGTTGTAATGTTTTCATGAGCATCACGATTGGAGGGCGGTTTCTTCTTCCATGTGGGTCTCGTTATAACGCTGCGCACATTCGTGCTAATAGTTTACAATATTTCCAATGATTCTTAAATATGGTTTCCTACCAAGTATCTTGTTGGCACGGCTTGGCATTGTCAGGGCGCGAGAGTCACGTCGATTCGCGGTGTTGACGTCCCAGCAGCGGCTTTCCGGTACGATTCAGGATCGCCCGGTCGCAAGATTCGCGGCGCTACACTCTTTGAGCATGTGCATTGGCACGGTTGCAGATTCTCAGACGGACGTTCTCCAACGTGGCATTTCCCGCAGTGGAAATGCATTATTATAGGACGTTCTGAAAACAAAAAAAACACTTTGGAAGAAGGGTGTATTGCAACATCGTTGAGCCCGGGCTTTGCATTGATATCTTCTTCTTGCGCAGCTGAGCCAGTTCGGCTCTGGCAGGATGCGGCCTGGCCGGCCTCTTTTGCACACCTTCTACCTACCGTTCCATGTCACTGACATGCTGCTGGCGTTGCTCAGCGTTTGGTAGCGCACTTGCACATGTTGCATGGAGTTCGAATATGCTGACGTGTAATGCATCGTGTGCAACAAGTCGACGGCATCGCACTTGCTGGTGCCCGCAGTAAGACTGCCCGAGGAAAGACGACGCGTAAGAGGCAAGTGGAGGATCGGTTCGTCACCGAGGCGGGCTGGACGGAGGGAGAATGTACGAACGCGCATTGATGGAATGTCCATCATGTGGGGGAAAAGGGTGAAATTCGCATTGCACACGCGGAGTGTACCCCGTCGATTACGCGTGGACGCAGTCTCTTGTGTCGATCGAGCCTGTTCGACGCCATTATGATAGCATTGCCGTTCCAACCAGAACTTAAGGACACGCACGAGTTGGCACAATATCGGCGCAGAGTTGATGCATTTCTAGACTGGTAGGCCCCGAGATTAGCGTCGCTGCCGCAGCGCACAACGCCAAGTGGAGATGTGAGTGATGGGACGGGGCTTGTTCAGCTCAACGGGGCACGGATGCGCGATGGCCCGTCCGCGGTCGAGACGCCGCGCGCTACCTAAGGCGCGCGTGCAGGGGCTGAGCGCGCACGCGCGCTCTCAATGCATATTGCATGACCTCGAGGTGACGAACGGCTTCAAATGCTGCGGGCTGGCGCATCGCGGCCCGCGAGCTGCGACGAGTTGGACGGACGCTGCCATCGCTACTTCTGTTGTTGCGCAACGCTCTCGTCGCGCGGGCCCGCCGCGTCGCCAGCGTCGCGAATTTCAAACTATCGGGCGCAAGGCGGCGGCGCGAGATCTGTCGGTTCACGCGTCGTTCCCGCGCGGCCTCGCCTTGCAGGCTGCCCCGGCGCGGTCTGGGGGGCGTTCGCCCGGGCGCGCTGCGCTCACATTAGCAAAACAGAATATTGGCCAGCGCGGAATCTCAATGATCTCGCGACGGCGCATCGCAAGGGGCGGGGCCGACGGTCATTCCCGGGGGCGAACGGGGAGGGGGCCATCAGAGATAAGCCGCGGCGCCGGCGATTGCGATTGCTGCAGTGCCTCGCGTCTGATCAGGTTTTCGAGCATTTAAAACCGATTCGCATCGATGAAGCCAACAGTTCGTTGGGTCGGGCGCTCCCCCCAAGCGCCCCGCGGCCCGCGCACGGCGCGATCTCTTACGGCGAGAGCGCGAGCTTCGACGCGGGCGCGCCGGGGCGGCCGGCGAAACGGAGGAGGGCATGACATCGCAGCAGCTGCTCGACGTGTCTTGCGAGTGGGAAACGTTCGACGCGGGGCTCGCGAAATGCAGCGCCGACGAACCGATGGCGCGCGCGAGCTGCGGCAAGCGGCGGTTCGCGGTCGCCGCCGCACAGGGGGCGCGCGGCGCGGGGCAGGGCGTCGAGAACTATCGGGCTGCGCGCGGCGTCGCAGCTAGCGCCGCCGAGCTCGCCGCGCCTAGCCGGGGGCGGCTGCCGCGCTTAGCTGGGGGGGGGGGGGGGCGAAGAGACTCGCCGCTCGCGCGCGCCCCGCAGCGCGCGGGGTCGACGCGCGGAGCTCGCAGAGTAGCAAGTCAGAATTACGAAGGCGCCGGGGACACGCCCCGCAAGGCCCAGCCGTCTCGGGCCTCTCCCCTCGAGCTCTGGCGGCCAGTCTCGCGCCCGCCCAAACGCCGCAGGTCAGCGGCGGGAGCGGGGGCTTCTCCAGGAGGTTGTCGCGCCCCCGTTCGTCTGGGGCCCTTCCGCGGGAGCTCGGCCAGGATGCTCAGTTCGGGGCGGGCCCCGGCGCGCTGGCACAGCGGTGAAGGGGCCCCTCTGCTTCGACCCGCCAGGAAATCGAGATGGGCCCGGCTCTTGGATCCAATGGGGAAGCTGTTCACGACGAGTTCGATGCATCAGAGAGGTCCAGGACTTTTCGGGGATTGCGATCGCGGCTTCGTTCCGCTTCGCAGGATGGGAGGGGGGGCTGGAGCGCCCGGGTCAGCGCGTCCGCCGGTGCCATTTGTGGAAAGTGTGGGTGGGGGGGGTGGGGGGGGGGCGCGTCGCGCATCGTGAGCGCGCATCATCCGGCCAATGCGCTCGGATTTAGCAGCTAGGAGCCCTTGCGAGAAGCGATGTCCTGTGTGTTTTTGGCCAAGCACGTTGCGACCGAAGTGCGGGTGATTCATGAGTGACGGGGTTGTCGTCCGCTCTTGCGCCCACTCATTCGAGTCGGCAGTCCACCGCCGACAGGGCAACCAGCGGGGCTGCGATCGGATCTCGCATTCTCTGCGCGCGCTGCCCAATGTTCCGCCCAGTTCAAGGCCCGCGCACGACGCGCGACGGCGGCGATCTTGCCGAGGAACTGGCGGCAAGGAGATGCACTGCGCTCGCTCATCACATTAACCTTTGTCGACGTTGTAGCGGCGATCTGGTCTGGTCTCTCCTCCAGGGCGGGCATAGTCAGCACTACCGCAAGCAGGGCGCGCGAGCGTAGCTGTCTGGGCGCTTGGACTTGCACGGGCAGGAGCCATGTCTTGGAGTCGAGATGCTTGCGTTCGGCGCCCGGGATTGCTACCAGTGCTTGCCCTGCGCCCGCGGCGTCATCGAGAAGCGGGCGCAGCGCAATTTATAATTTGCCGCAGCTGCACTTGCCACTCAGCGCCGAGGGGCGCCCGTGGGGCCGCGCGCGCCGGGTCGGGGCGGAGGCCGTGGGGGAGTTCGACGAGGGCCATGATCTTGCAGCCTGTCTTTGGGGGGGGGGCGTGAGTTCCTTGAGCTGTTTCGATCGGAAGAGGCGCCGGGGTGGGGGGCAGGTTCGCTCGTGCCGATGGTCGACAAGTTCGGGGTTGATCGCTGGTTGGTGATGCGCCTCCTCCTAGGCATTCTTTAGTTTCTGAGACTGGGCCAGAACGACGCGCAGCGCGCGCGTTGGAGCCCCAGTGTCAGCGCATGATGGCCGAAGCGAGAGGCACAGCATGTGAGGCCTTTGTGAGTGATAGGCGCGCTGTATATTCATATCACTGCTAGACGTGAGTATCAGGCATTATCGAGTGCCTTGGGGGTGTGTAATCAATGCTGCGCGTATCGCACTGCATTTGCGTTTAGTGTCATTTGTCGATGCCACCTGCGGACTTCGCCTGCTCGAGATTTTCGGGGCGGCGCCGCTGTTCGCCATCCTCGTCCGACTTCCGCGCCGTCGACGTAGAAGTTTCCACGGGGTGCATTCTACAGTCCATGACTTGAGTCTTTTCCTGGCCCAGTATATATATATATAACTGCATCCATGGGTGCTCGTGGACAACAAGTAGTGAAACATTTTAAATTAGAAGAGGCCTTGGCAGTTGTTTTTGGTTCAATATTACCTCCCGTGGAATGGCTGGCCCTCGCCCAGAGCTCCCCCCCCCCCCCGCCTGCGGCGCAGCGGCTGCCGCGGACGCGCGCCCCGCGTGGGCGGCAGAGGCGCCCCGGGGCCCGGGTCGCGGGCGAAGGCGCGCTCGCGCGCGGGGGCGGCGAAGGAGGAGGCAGGGAAGGGCGGGGGCGACCTTTTGAGGCAGCTCGCCATCGCGCTCGCGAGAATTTCACTTCGCGAGCGCCGCAGAGTTGCCGGGCGCCTGCGGAGTAGCTGTGCGACGCGCCCCCTTTCGGCGCGACCCAGGTCGCGGCCGGGGCCGCCGCGCCCGCGGGGGCGAAGCGTCGCGCCGACGCTCAGAAGGTCAAGGAGAGCGACGGCGACGTGGATTCTCTAGGACCGCCGTTCTGGCAGGTGTGGGCGAATCAAATACTTGCCGCGGGCAGCGACCCCGCGCGCCCAGAGGATTGCAGTACATCCTTCGAGGAGTATTGGAACCAGGTCGTGACCGCCAAACCGATGAAAGAGCCGACGGGCGAGGAGGGAGGTCGTCGCATCCGAGCCACGGCGAACCAGAAATCGAAGGCGGAGAAATACCGGCCGACGTCCACGATCGATTCAAAGCGCCCCGACGTCGAAAGGCACATGGAAAGCGCAAGGCAGGCGCAGCTCCGGAAGAGGTTTCTGAACCAGAGAAAGAGGGAGAGAGAGAGAGAGAACGAACACATTTATTTTATTTTTTGTTGTTAAAAAATGTTTAGATATATATATATATACATATATACAAAACGCAGTGTATTCGCAGGTTCGGATCGCCGAGTGAGCGTGTCTAGCATCTAGCGAGAGAGTGCAGCGTGACACGGGGGAGCGGGGCGGCGCTGGGGCGTCGACGAGGAGGGGCGGAGCGCGGCTGACAGCCGAGCGACGGCCGCCGCCGACGCGCGGGTGGTCGCGATCATCGCGGGAGAGGTGGCACGTCGGCCACGCCTTGCAAGCCCCCCCCCCCGCCTGCGAGAGCTCGCGGCTCGAGGGGCCCTTTCTTCCTCGTCCTCTTTCTGCTCCTCCGAGCGTTGCTGCTGCTGTCTTTTCCTTCTCTTGGGCCCTTCGGCTGTCTCGATGCGTCGATCCGCGGCCCAGGAACTTTTTTTTCGTTTATATATATATATGTATATATATATACATCCATATATATATATATATATATATATATATATATATATATATATATAACAAAAAAACAGGCGAAGTCTCGAAGGCATCTCTTCAGGAGGGGAGAAAACACACAGACACAATTAATCGTCGATCCCCAGGAAATATGGGAAAATATGGGAAGTGGGGGGGAAGACAGAAACCCAGAAAATGTAGGAAAATATGGGAAGTGGGGGGGAAGACAGAAACCCAGAAAATATGGAAAAATATAGGGAATTCTTTTTTGTGTGTGTATTTACTTGTGTGTGCCAGGGCCCCTTCATCTCTCCCCTGACCCTCCGATGCCCGGCGCGCTCCGGAAGGCCTCCGCCGGCAGGCGCTGCGTTCGTCTGCGCGCGGGGTCCTCGCGGGCCCTCGTGGCCGCCGGTCTTTGCGGGTCCTGAGCCGAGCCGCCTTCCTCCCCCTCGAACTCAGGAGGCAAAGAAACACACAGACACCATGAATCCTCGTTTCCCCAGAAAATCGAGGAAAATATGGGAAGTGGGGGGAAAGACAAAAACCAAGAAAATATATACGAACATATGGGGGATCCTGTTATTTGTGTGTGTATTTATTTGTGTGTCGCAGGGCTCCTTCACGAACGCGCAGGCCCGCGCCGCGGGGCGGGCGGGGCCCGTGGGTTTTCCCGTGGTTGCACAGGTGGGCGTCGCTCCTCTGGCATCGCCTCATTAAAGCCAGCTTGGGAGGACCTTTTGTTGGATGTGCCAGCTGCCACGTCGTGCTGCGCGGTGGCTTCGGGGGTGTGACGTCCGTTTTGGATCTGTTCTACCACTCGCGGTCGAGTGTGACGAGTTCCTCTTTGCGCGCTGGCGAATGAGCACACGTTGCAGCTTCTGGGGCCCTCGCAAAGCCGGAAGGTTTCTGAGAACCCCCGCCGCCTTTTGAGGAGTTTTGCGTTTTCTCCTTCCCCCCCGGGCGCGCCGCCAGAAAGGGGAGGGGTCAGGAGGTGTGTGTGTGTGTGTATGTGTGTGTTACCGTTCGTTTTTGGCGCGTGTTTGTTTTTGACGGCATCCCTGGCAGGGTTTCGGGGGTTCGCAGTTCCGTCTCGGTCTCTCCCCCAGTCCGCCCTGGTTCGTCCTCTCCTGTTCCTGCTCCTGCTGCTATCTGCATGCTTGCGCGGGACGTGGTGGGGCCGATGCATTTGTGCCTGAATGACAGGAGGACGGGGGGGGGCGCGGCGACGCCGCCACCGTCGTTCTCAGCGTCGTGAGGGGCGAGTGCGAACGGTTTGGTTTCATGCAAAGGAGTTCGGGGAGCGGAGGGACAAAGGGAAACATTGGCGGGAGTGGAGAGGGGGGGAGCCATGATGATGGCAAAGAGGGAAAAGCATGGTGGCGCGTGTGTGTGCAGTGAGGGGGAGAGTGGGATCGAACGCATTGTCTTGTTTTTGTTCGCTGGGGCGGCTGGAACCCCAGACTACGGCCTTTGCCTGACGGCCTGTGGTTCGGCGTGGTTGTCTGGGATTGTAGTTCAGCGCCCGCTCCAGCCTCATGCAGTCGAACCGCTGAATGTGCTCGGAAAGAGCTCGCTGTTCCGTAGAGGATTGCATGGTTTCTCCTCCTGGCGCTCCTCGTGCACCCAGACGCGCTTACGCTCTTGCGACCAAACAGCGGCTTCGCTCCGGATTGGCACCCCCTAGTGTTAAGTCGGGCCTGTCCCCTTACAGGGGGATTTTCGACGGAAAATAAGAAATGCCCCAAAAATTGACAAAACATAGTCCAAAAATAGTCGGGGGACTATGTTTTTAGTATGTTTGTTGCCTTTGGGGGGCATTGTTTGGGTATTTTTTATTTTTCGTCGAAAATCTTCCTGTAGGGGGACACGCCCGACATAACCCTAGTGTCGTAGCTCGATGTGCGGGCCCGCATCGGATCAAGCCCGCCGCGGGTCTCTCCTGCGTGTGGCGCGCTCGTGCTATGGGAGTGCGCAGTGCGGCGAGCAAGGTGCACGCGCTCTTTGTCAAACGTGGCAAGCGCGGAAGAGGACAAAACAGCGTTACGTTGCATCTTCGGGGGACCCCGCCTGTCCCCAAAATTGGCGTCTTTGTTTGTGCCTGACGCGGGCTCGATGCGGCCTCGATTCGGATTTGGGGGGCATTCGACGCGGATTCGACATGGATTCGACACGGATCCGACGAGGCCGACATGGATTCGACACGGATTCGACGCGGATAGGGTCGCGACGGGACAGACGAGGTCCCCCGAGGATGCAATGCAAAACAGTGGATGACTGGACAGGCGGGTACGTTGGAGCTGGCGGACAGTCAGGGAAGTGGACCTGGCAGGGTTCGCGTAGAAAGGTGGATGGGAAGGACACGTGGCCGAGGGGCGGGGCGGCACGGGAGAACGGCGAAAGGAGAAGGCGGAGGGGAGTGCGAGGGGAGACGAGTGCCAATGGGATGGAGGACGGTAGTGAGGAAAGGGTGTGAAGGGGGGTTGTTTTGGTGGAAAGGATGGGCGGCCAGGATGAGTTGATAGAGGGCGTCCCGGAGTACATCCGGCGCTGCCAGACGTGGGAAGGCGGCATCGCAGGCTTCGTTGCCCCTCCTCTTTGGCGGCGCTACACCCCTACCGCTGGAGAGGTGTTCACTATGCTGCCTCAGGGGTTCCAGCGATCGTGGTCGGAGTTAGTGGTTCTTCATTCTAATGTTACTCCTCCTCCCGCTTTTCGTCTTCCTCCACTTCCGTTTCCTCTCCTCCGTCATCCTCCTTCTCTGCTTTCCTTGCTTACCACGCTTACCGCAGCCCCTGAGACGGCATACTCAAAGGCGCCCGCTGCCAGGTAGAGGAAAACATCCTCTGACGAGTCGGCTCGTGCTGGCGTGCTCATTGTTTTGCTAGGAAGGCCCACAGCGACGACAACGGTGGCGAAGATGGTGGTGATTATTGTCATCGTAGTGGTCTTGATGTTGGCGTTGGAGATTTGTTGTGGCGGCGATGCTGAGGATGAGAATGAGGATGATGGTGATGGTGATGATGATGATGATGATGATGATGATGATGATGTTGATGCCTGATGATGATGATGATGATGGTGGTGGTGGTGATGATGATGGTGGTGGTGGTGATGATGATGATGGTGATGGTGATGGTGGTGATGATGATGGTGATGATGGTGATGATGGTAATGATGGTGATGATGGTGATGATGGTGATGATGGTGATGATGATGATGATGGTGATGATGGTGATGATGGTGATGATGGTAATGATGGTGATGATGGTGATGATGGTGATGATGGTGATGATGGTGATGATGGTGGTGATGGTGATGATGGTGACGATGGTTATGATGGTGATGATGGTGATAATGGTGATGATGGTGATGATGGTGATGATGGTGATGATGGTGATGATGGTGATGATGGTGATGATGGTGATGATGGTGATGATGGTGATGATGGTGGTGATGGTGATGGTTATGGTGATGGTGATGGTGATGAGGATGATGATGGTGATGGTGATGGTGATGGTGGTGGTGATGATGATGATGGTGATGTTGGTGGTGGTGGCGATGGTGATGGTGACGGTGATGGTGATGGTGATGGTGATGGTGGTGGTGATAATGGTGATGATGGTGATGATGAGGAGGAGAAGAAGGATGAGGAGGACGAGGAGGACGACGAGGAGGAACATAGTGATACTGTCACGGTGAGGAGTTTTCAGGCTCCACAAGGAGCCGCTGGCAGTGACAGACGCGCCTGCCGAACAGGCAACGCCCGATCTTGACGTCCAGGCGGGGCACGCCGCTGCACCCCCCCCCAGAGAGGCCAGCAGGCTGCGCCAGTCCCCGACTGCTGCCCAGCCTCAGGAGGCACCCGAGCTGGGAGAGGCCCGAGCCCCGCCCGAGCTTGATGCTGGAGCTGCCGGATGCCTACGCATGTTTAGATGCTCGATCTGGGGACCTCCCAGCGGTCACCCAATGGATCTGATTCGACTCAAGGTCGACTCAAGTTCGACTCACCGTCGTTTGAAGGCCCTGTCAACGTCAGCCTGCTCGCGCAACGGTGACTTGGTGACTCGGAGCCCCCGTCGCGCCAGCCTCGTCCTCGCCCTCCGAGCAGTCGCCGTCCTCGCCGCTCTGCTCCGCCTCGGCATCGCTCGGACGTGTCTTGGCATCGCTCGGACATGGTGCATTCGTCCTTCGGCGAGGACCAGCGAGGAGCATCCTTGATCATTTGGCGAAAACACCACGCTCGAAACCGACAAAAAAACAGTGAATGGACGTCCGAGCGATGGCCAGGTGTGCACGCTGCTCGGCGAGGCCAGCGCCGGAGCACACCGCCCACGCCGCCGTGCGAAGCCAACAAGGGGCCCGGTGAAGTGGACGCCCTGTGCGATGGCAGGCAGCGCGCGCCCCGGTGCTCAGCAGGTGGGTCGAGAAAACGCGTTGCGTGAGCACGAGATGCTGGAGCGCCGCTCGGCCCTCAGAGGTGGGGAAGGTACCGAGGCCGCTGCCCTTGCTGCTCCGGTGCTCAGCATGTGGGTCGAGAAAACGAGTTGCGCGAGCACGAGATGTTGGCGCGCCGCTCGGCCCTCAGAGGTGGGGAAGGTACCGAGGCCGCTGCCCTTGCTGCTCCGGTGCTCAGCATGTGGGTCGAGAAAACGCGTTGCGCGAGCACGAGATGCTGGAGCGCCGCTCGGCCCTCAGAGGTGGGAAAGGTACCGAGGCCGCTGCCCTTGCTGCTCCGGTGCTCAGCATGTGGGTCGAGAAAACGAGTTGCGTGAGCACGAGATGCTGGAGCGCCGCTCGGCCCTCAGAGGTGGGGAAGGTACCGAGGCCGCTGCCCTTGCTGCTTCGTTTTCTCAGTGAGGACCACCGCTGCTTCGCCTCGAAATTCTGGTCAGCGCCCCGATGCTCAGCATGGGTCGAGGAAAAGAGTTGCGTAAGCGTGAGATGTTGGAGCTCCGCTCGACCCTCACTTGGCGTCGCTCGGACGTGTGCATTTTTCCTTCGGCGAGGACAGTCGAGGAGCCTTCTTGATCATTTGGCGAAAAAGCCACGCATGAAACCGAAAGAAAGCGCGGGGAATGGACGTCCGAGCGATGGCGAGCTCGGAGGAGGGAAAGGCACCGAGGCCGCTGCCCTGGCTGCCTCGCTCTCTCCCTGCTGGGCCTCCCGGGGAGGCCCTCGCGTCGCCACCGCTGGACTCGCCTCGAACGTTCTGGTCAGGACGCACCCCAGGAGAGGTCCCGGGGAGCTTTGCAAAAAAACGAAGGATTGCAAAAAAACGAAGGATTGCAAAAAAACAAACGAAGGATTGCAAAACAAAAAAAAACAAAAAAAAACCCTTTCGTTCACGGATTCGGTTCCTTTGTGGTCTTCTCAGACGCCCCTCCCTGGCGCGCCTCGCGGCCAGTGCCTGCCTCGGCAGGCGCTGGACCTGGGCTGCCCCTTGCCCCTTGCCCCTCCCTGGGTTGCTCCTCCTCCTCCTCCTCCTCCTCCTCCTCCTCCTCCTCCTCCTCCTCCTCCCTGGGTTGCCCCTGCCTGGACCTGGGCTGCCCCTTGCCCCTCCCCGGCGCGCGCAGCGCGCCAGGGGCGGCGTCGGAGACGCCGCCAGGCGGGGCCCAGCGTCGATCCAGGAAATCTGCCCGGAGTCCCAAATGTGTGTGTTTGTGCCGAGTGGTCTCTTGGCATCGCTCGAGGACGGTGATTTTGACGCGCCGTCGACGGCAAAACCGCTTCGCTCTCCCTCCGGGACTTCGCCACCGGCTCCTGTCCAAGGCGTACCTTTCCCTGTGCAAGTTCTTCGGCACCGCCTGCACCCCGCGCCCTCCGGCCGCCTGAGGCCCCGCCCGCCCGCGCCCTGTCTCCCCAACTGGTGCTTTGCGCGCCCCGCCTAGCTCTTAACCGGAAGAGGCCCGCTCTCGACCCGCAGACCAAAAGTGTGTTTGTTTGTTTGTTTCTCCCTGGCGAGGACCTTCGAGGAGCATCTTCGACCATCGGGCACAGCAACACGGAACGAAACCGAACAATGCACGGGGAAGGGACGTTCGAGCGATGGAGAGGTCTTGTCCTCCAGTGGTTCCACGTGCTCTTCTGTGGGCCTCCCGGGCAGAGGCCGCGCAGAGAGACTCCGCCGCGTCCCCGCGTCCGCCGCGCCGCAGGCGAGGAGGGCCTGGAGGCGCACGGTGGCTACTCGTGCTCCTCCACGAGGAGGAGGAGCAGGAGGAGGAGGAGCAGCGGGAGGAGGTAGTGACGACGAGGATGAGGAGAGGAGGGGCGAGGAGGACAAGTGGGAGGAGCATGAACAGATTTTTACACCGCTGCTCGTCCAGGAGAGCCCTGCCCTCGTCGCCACGGTTGGCTTCGCATCGGAAGTCTGTTCAGAGTTCGCCACTGGAGGCGTCGGGGAAGGGGGGTCTCCGTACTTGTTTGCCTGGCTCTGTCGGTGGCAGCGGCAGAGGGTCGTGGCCCAGAAGGGGGAGGCACCGAGCCCCGAGCGCCCACGGTCCTCGCCGATCGGGGCCGCTCCTGCCCGGGAGCGTCCGCCTCGGCGATCTGCCGGCCGTGTGCCGCCGCTTCCGGGCAGCTGCGATCCCCCGGGGGCCAGTCTCGCGTTTGTTGCCCCCACCTCTCGGGGGAGCGTAAGACCCGGGTTTGCCAGGACTCGGGTTCGCCATCGTTTTTTGACGACCGCGCCTCGGATTCTGACGAGGAGGAGTGTCGTGGGATGCCTGCAGCGGGAGGCCTCGTCAAAATGCAGGCTCGGCCTCGTCATTTTTTTTGACGACCTCGTCGGGGATTTCCGAGTCCCCTGTACCCAGGTCTTACGTCCCCCTGAACCTCCCCCTTCCGATGCGATTTTGATTCCGACTCGCGGAGTCGACCTGTCCGTGAGGGAAGAGCGGATGAGCCAAGGCGAGGTCGACTCGAATCCGACCTCAGGTCGAATCCGTGAGGGCCTCGGAGGAATCGAGGAAGACCAGTTCGTTGTTGTGCCCGTGCCAATGCAGACCGATCCCGACGCACGTGTCGATACCATCCAGTGCTTTCCCGCTCTTCGGAGGGGGAACACTTGCTTGACCATCAACCGTCGGAGGTCCGCGCGGATGTGTTGGATGGGCGCTAGATCCCCCTCGGTGGCGCGCGGAGCTCGCCATGGGCGGCGCCGACCCAAGAAATCCGCGCGGTCCTCCGAACGTTCAGGGATATGCAATGCGTTCTTCTTCAGATTCAGTGCAAGGCTGCTCCCAGGCGCATCCTGAAGGTGTGCACGATCTGATGGTTCTCCAGCCTTCCCGCGGCCTGCCTTCTCCCTGCCCCTCGCCTGCCTGCACCCCGGCACCTCAATTTCGGAACTGATGTCTCCCGCCGTTTGCTTGACCGCTTGTTGGTCCCACTTCGCCGCAGACGCGAACGCATAGCTTTTCTCCGGAGATCGATGCAGGATGGTCCTGCCCAGCCTCTGCATTGCGTTGCATCTTCGGGGGACGTCGCCTTTCTGCTTGCTCGCTGCCCCCGTGGCTGGGGGAAGGAGTGGAGCCCAAGGCGGGGTCTCCTGCGCTGGCGACGTATGCCTCTCGTGGGGTGCAGCATGGAGCCGCAGGCCGGCGTTGCCAGGTCCGCTGCGACCCACGAACGGTCCACAGGAGCATTGACCAGGCGCCCCCCCCCGAAGGGAAGCGGATTGCAGCAGACGCGGGACAGAATGGGCGCGGGGGGGGGGGGGGGGCGGGAGCGCCAGACCTCGACCCTTGGAGCGGGGCGCCTGCGCGCGAGGCAAAATGCACGGGGAACGAACGAGGAGGACGAACCGAGACCCGCGACCCCGCAGAGGCCTCTCTCCCGAGCGCGCAGCCCCCTACTATATGCGGGCCGAGCTTCCGTGCAGTGGGCCGAAGGTCCGTCCAAGCGGCGCTCTGGCCTCGGCGCGGGCAGCACACCGCCAGCGTCACCTGCACGCGGTGGTCAGTTTGAGAGCGGCTCGAGAGGACGTCTCAGCAGAAGCTGGAGTTTTTGGTTAAGATGGGGGGCTGGACTGCGGGGACAAGTCAAACGCACGTCTGACGCGAGTCAGAATCGAAGCGATGTACCAGCAGATTGGGCCAGTTTGGTTGCCGCCAGGTTCCGTCGCACGCGTGCGGAGCAAGGGTCCGACGGCCATAATGCATCATCATTGTGCAGGTAGTTGCGCGATTCCATTCTTGTTATCCGTGTCGCGCCTCCGTCTAGTCACTCCCTCCTCTTCCCTCCTTCTCCATCTCACGATCAGAATCATCGCGAGGCGACATGCACAGCACTTGGGCAACACAAGGGGGTGCCGCCAGGGCATACGTCACTTAAACGGTTCGTGCCCAGATTGTGGGGATGTCTCCAGCGGTTCGCTTGTTTTACGGATGTAGGCGCGTCTTTTTCTGGGCCGCGTGGTGTTCGCGATGTCGCAACCATCGCCCTTGGGCGCCACAAGGGGGAGCGACCACGGGGTAGGACACTTGCCAGTTGGCGCCCAGCATTCGGGGATATTTCACGCGAGACGCTGGCTTTTTGAGGTGGGCGTGCTTTCACAAAGAAAGCGAATACTTGGGTACCCAAGAGAGGGAGGGAAGGCGCCAGAGTGTCGGACACTTGCCCGTTGGCGCCCAGATTGTGGGGACGTCCCTTGCGAACAGGTGGCTTACGGAAGTCAATTATGTGTTTTCAGGCCATGGCAATTGCGGTGCAGCAGTCATCATTTTTGGGCGCCACACGGGGGAGGCGCCAGGGGGTAACATCACCGGTGCGTTCGCGCCCCAGATTGTGGGGATATGTCAATCGAACCGTTTGCTTTGGGAATGTCGTCGCGTCTCTTTTGAGGGCCGCGCAGGCGCCGCGACGACGTAGTAGACATACGACTTGGGCTCTACAAGGATTAGCCGCCAGGGGGCAGGACACATGCGCGTCAGCGTCCAGATTGTGGGGGTATCTCACGCGGTACGCTGGTTGTTGAGAGGAAGACGTAACTCTTTTGAGGGCTGTGTGACCACTGCAATGTAATAGCGGGTAGGGCACTTACCCATTGGCGCCCAGTTTGTGGGGATGTCTCAAGCGGAACTCTGGCGTTTACGGTTCGATTGTGTCTATTCTTGTTCAGGGTTGCGTGGTCGTCGTGATGTAGCAGGCGTGGCATATGGGGACCGCAGGGGGGGCCGATAGAGGGTACATCATGGGCGTTGTCGCGTTCATATTGCGAGGATGTTTCGGCTCACCCAGTTGTTCAAATACCCGTTCAGTGTCCGACGGTCGCAGACAGGAATCGAAAGGAAACTTACGCGCTACCTGGCCAATGAAGAATAGCGTGGATGAGGAGGATCAGGAGGAGGAGGAGAAGGAGGAGGAGGAGGAGGAGGAGCTGACCGATGCATACATGGGGATCTCCTCTGACGAAACGTTTGTCCTGCCGTCACCTGTGCAGCATTTCGTTCTTGAGAGGCTCTACCCTCGCGCGCGTGTGGCCTGTGCAGTTCATGCCCGTATGAGTATATTCCTCCCCCTTTCTCCGCCGCTTTCCCGCTCGTTGTTCGGGTCCTCCTTTTTCCGCTCGGTTCTTTTTGGTTCCTCCGCCTTGATGGTGCCGCGCAGATTTGGTTGGCCACTTGGGCTTCGGGGCGCGCTGCAGTTAGCATCGTTTCGTCCGTCTGGCCTCGTTGACGGCGGGTTGATTCGCGCTGCGTTCCAGGCGCGTCTGTGGCTGCTCCAGCTCTCACTGTGCTGCAGCCGCGCTGTGGTGCGTTGCAGCTCGTTCCTTCCTTCTCCTTCTTCGCGCCTATCCTTTCTGCCCCGCCCCCCCCCCTCGCTCTTTGTCGGCGGATGGGCGTGGGATGGTGCCCCCTCTTTCCCGTCTCCCGCCTCCCCCGCGGCGGCGCCGACAGCGCTCGGAGCCCAGCTTGGAGGTGTCCAAGCCAGGCATCGGCAGCCGACGGGGGAGGGAGTCCGGTCTTCTTGCTGCTCCTCCTCTTGATTCGCCCGTTCCTTGTCCTCCCTCCTCACCAGCCCGGCCCTGCCATGCCATTCAACACTAATGGATACGCGCATTGCCATTGCTTGGGCGCCTTGGTTGCGGGGAACTCGCAAGCAACGGCGCCGAGACTTTTGGCTGCGTGGTTGGATGGGTTGGTCGCCTTGGTCTCTGCCCCCGTCGTTGTCGAGCAATGAAATACACTTGCAAGGTTCGCGCCCTCTCCTTCAAACCTCGCACGCAGTGCGAGGACGTCTCAACTGATGCTATTGTGTTTGACGGTTGGGTGATAAGTTGGTCTGGTCGGCGCGGCTCTCGCCCGAATGCTTGGCAGCGGGGGCCGGTTCCCCGAGTGGGCGCGCGACGTGGTGTTCACTGGGCCTAAAATGTTCACCAGTCCTGCAGTGCTCGCGCAGGGTCTGCCTGGCGGCGCGCAAGACCAACTACCGCGCGGATCGCGCATTTTATGCGGCCTGGGCAGCGCGCGCGGCCATGCGGTTCATACATCGCCCGCGGCCCGCGCGCTCCGCGCTGCCCGTGCGTCCCCCCCGGCCCTTCGCAGGGGGCGCCCGTGCGTTTCGCGCGGCCCGTGCGGCCTCGCTTTTCCGACGCGGCCCCCCGCCCCCCCATCCCACGCGGATTGCACGGCCCATGTCTTGGCATCGTTCGGACGTGTGCATTTTTTCCTCGGTGGGGACCATCGAGGAGCATCCTTGATCATTTGGCGAAAAAAACCACGCACAAAACCGAAAAAAACACAGGGAATGGACGTCCGAGCGATGGCCAGATGCGGCCCTTGCGTTTCGCGCAGCTCCTGTTGTCCATCTGGCGCACGCAGCTCTCGCGCCCCACGCGCGACGCAGTCCCCGCGCAGGCGTCGCCCCCTTCGCCATGCCCCGAGCTCTTGCGACAAGGGCGTCACCGTCACGCAGGCCAGGATCTGACTTGTGCAGTCTGTCCCCTTTCTGACTGTCTTTCCCCTCTTCTTCTTTGGCGCGTTCCAGCTTGTTGCTTGGGTCCTCCGTTCCCCGTGTGTTCTTCCTTGTTGCTTCGCCTCTCCGTTGTTGCCGTGCGGATTTGGCCGCTCGTTCGCGGCAGTCGGGGAGCGCTGCAGTTAGCAGAGGCCGTCCGCCAGGCCTCGCGTGCGGCGGGTTGGTCCGCGCTGCGCTCCAGGTGCGTCGGGCGCCCCTCCACCTTGCGATGA